CTATCACAGTTGCAGCATCCTGGGGTCATCCGATCACCTTTCACCTCGCTTGACCACTGACTTCCGACAGGCCAAGTCAACGGTTAAGTGAGACTCACTTAAACAACCATGTTACTAACTTTAACAACTGCTGTAATTCACTTAGAAAATGTGGCAAGGAAGGTCTTAAAATGGGCCAACATTCATTTAAAACTGTCTCACAGCAACAGAATTTTGGGGTTCAATTGTGGTTATAAGTCGAGGACTTATGGCCGTTTTTCACAGTCACACAACCTTTGCAACGTTCCCCATGATCAGGTGATCAAACTTGGCAACTGGCTCATACTTATGACTGGTGCTGTGTCCCAAGGTCATGGGATTCCCTTCCGACAAGCAAATTCAGAGGGGAAGGCAGATTCACTTAACAACTCGGTTGCTAACTTATCAACTGCAGTGATTCACTTAGCAACGGTGGCAAGAAAGGTCATAAAAATGGGGCAAAACTCACTTAGCAAATGCCTTGCTTAACAAGAAGAAATGTTGGGCTCCATGATGGTCGTAAGTAGAGGACTACTTGTCAATGGACTTGTCAATGGACTAGCACATCCAGAAAGCACAGAGTGGTGGGTTAAGCACCTTTATAGGCATCGCTATTTGATTTTATGCACTTCTGTTTGTCATGACCAGAAGGCCCAGGTGGGCAGTATGGCTGCACCCGAAGGCCAGACAAGGAATAAAATGGATGGAAACTGAACAAGGAGAGATTCAACCTGGAAACAAGGAGAAACTTCCTGACAGTGAGAACAATCAACCAATGGAACAGCTTTGCCCTCGGAAGTTGTGGGAGCGCCATCACTTGAGACTTTCAAGAAGAGATTGGACTGCCATTTGTCAGAAATGGTGTAGGGTCTCCCGCTTGGGGGGGGGGGTTGGACTAGATGACCTACAAGGTCCCTTCCAACTCTGATTGCCTGTTATCTGGTCATTGTCACCTATTTAGCAACACCCCGGGGATTATGTGTGGCTTAAGTGAGGAATGCTACTGATGGCTATTGCTCCCCTTGTAATGTTCTCAGTATACACTCAAAAAAGAATGTAGTTATCTGTGAATAAAGGCGGTGAGGGATGAATCTCTGACCTTCCCTCTTCCATCCGATTGGTGGTTTCAGAGGGGTTTCCTTCTGGTCTGAGATTTTCAGAGTTCAGCCACAAGACAAGGAGAGATTAAATTTGGAAGTAAGGAGAAACTTTCTGACAGTGAGAACAATCAACCCAATGGAACAACTTGCCCTTGGAAGTCATGGGAGCTTCATCGCTGGAAGCTTTCAAGAAGAGACTGGACTGCCATCTTTCAGAAATGGCGTAGGGTCTCCATCTTGGACCAGGGAGGGGGGGGTTTGGACTACATGACCTACAAGGTCCCTTCCTACTGTTAATCTGTTAAATGAAAATTTTAAACCACAAGGCTTTTGATGTGCTCAAAGTAGCTTCTGATTGCCTGGGGAAAAGGAGAAAGAGGAGGAGAAGGAAGAAGAAGAAGAGGAAGAGGAAGGGGAAGGGGAGGGGGAGGAG